GAATTATTAGAGAGAACGAGGGATAAGTGCGTTGTGATGTGGCAGAAGAGAAGCACAGACTTTGAGAAAAAACTAGTGATTTAGAAGAGGGAAGAATCCTGCCTGAAGCTGTTTTTTTTCACAGCTTAGTATCTGTGTGTATGTGTGCGTGTTTGTGTGTACGTTTGCACTTTGTGGTCGTTCCCCGTTGTCACCAAACACGCGTGTGTTTGCCTGTGCGTCCCTCTTCACACTGGCACGTCTCAGTATTCTCTACGCATTCACCGGCATACAAATGACTTTTTTTATCAGAGGCAATTTACTTCAGTCTGCTGGAGCTCCCGGTCGCTCGATCAGCCAGACAACTAATCGTACATGAGAGAGCGCTTCATCACGAACTTCAAAAAAAGAGGGGAGCCACCCGCTAACTAACACACACTGAGACTGGAATGGTGACATTCAGTGTTTTACTATGATAAGCCCATATGTTTGGGTTAACGATAAAAAGGAAAGCAATGAGGTGCAAGCTGTAGATTAACTTTATGGCTTTATGGTTAAAAGTCTACTTATGACTTAAATCTAAACGTTGTCATTAGTGAGTTGATTGAAAGCTATTATTAAAAAAAAAAGTCAAAATTCTAGTTATTTTTCATTCTAGTTATTTCTTTGAATGGACAGGACATTGTTTCCTGTTAGAGGCCCCTCTGGCAGGACAGTTTGGACCCTTCTTGTCCTGCTAGCAGGTGAACCTTCATCCAGTGGTTCTTCTAGGCCACATTTACAGGGAGGAGGGGGACATTTTTTTTATGGGGGCACCAAATAAAAGACTGAAACAAAAATGTTAACAAAATGTGAACTAAAGAACCATTTGCAACTCTGGAAATCTTAAATCTAGCAGATAAAAACTTTGTTATTGCAACATGATTGAAGCCATTCCAAATTCTCCACTTTCCTTGATGGGCCCTTGGCTGGTCCCCTACAATTCCTTTTTAAACACCAATCTTTGTACTAAAATATTATTTCTGTTATGATTTGATGATATTAAGATCTAAAGAGAAGCATCATCTCCTGGTCAGACCCTGTGATTCAGTGAAAGGGTGGAGTCAGAGAAAAAACTATGCGTAGAAGGAGGGGGTCAATCCAGTGGCTGGAAGTTGGAAGGAATTTTGCTGGGAGTTGCAGGGACGTGGGCCGCCATTCAGCTGGGCTTTGACTGGGAAGGGCCATTTTGAATGGCTGTTACTGTAAAAGCCTCAATTTCATTTTACAGCTGTAAAAAAAAATATGAATATATTCATTAAAGGTACTTTTTTTCTTTCTGTTCAAACACATATCATTTATTTATCAGAAATGTATTTTGTAATATGCCTTTAATACAGCGTTCATTACAGGGTCCAGGAACCAGTTCTACAGTGGTGTTGGCCCCTGAGGGCCCCTATCTATAACCACGCATGTCTACATCCCAGTCTCATTCTCGCTTCTCTGTTCAGTTTTCCACTGTTAAGATCCAAAATAACAAGCGATTTAATGTGCAGTTAGTTGCCGTGTTGCTGGTGACCTACTTAGACTGCATGTGTAATTAATAACAGGCACAAAGTGCTGCGGACCACCATATTTAAATGATGATATATATAATATTGAGGGGTAGTTATTGGAAAAAATAGAATAGAATTCAACTTTATTGTCATTCCACTGTCACAAATTAAATTTCAAATCAAATTTATTTGTATAGCCCTTTACAATAGCCAAATGGTACCCAAAGTGCTTTACAATATAGCCATAAAACAATACATAACACATACAAAACATACAAGATACAATTAAAATTGCTGTAGTGGTGCAGCGCTGCAGGACATTAAAAGCCTTCCAGAGGTGCATAGAAAGGAAATTAAAAAAGTGGGTCTTAAGCTTTTAAAAAAAAAGGCTGAGTTCAGTAATAGTGCGGATGTCAGGGGGTAGTTTGTTCCACAGTCTGGGAGCAGCGACGGAAAAAGAACGACCGCCCCACTGTTTGAGTCCTGATCTAGGGACCTCTAACAGAAGCTGACCCGAGGAGCGTAAAGCTCTGCCACAATTGCAGAAAGTTAAAATCTCAGACAAGTAAGAGGGGTCCAAGCCATGGATGGCGTTAAAAACAAACAGCAGAAATTTAAAATCAATTCTAAAACGGACTGGAAGTCCCAAGTCCAGCGCAACGAAATGAATTCTCTGCATTTAGCCCATCCCCTTGGAGAGCAGTGGGCTGCCATTGTGAGCAGTGTGGGGCTAAGGGTCTTGCGCAGGGACCCAGAGTGGCAGTCTGTGGAAGTGGGGGGCTTGAACTCAGAACCTCAGGATTCCAAGCTCTACTCCCTAACCACTAGGCTGCCAATCCCCTTTAAACCAAATGGACGATTTGATTTAAAATGTCTCAATTGGAATATTCAGAGCAATTATAGTCAAACCGGCCTCTTCTCAAAAATGGGTGGCTATACGACCCTTTTTTGTTTGTTTCAGGTTTCCCGCGGGTCCTTAAAAAGTCTTAAAAGGCATTGAATTCTTCAAAATAAACGTTAGGCCTTAATTGGTATTAAAAAGTCTTAAATCAGTCTTTCGTAAGCCTTAATTTTTAAAACATCATAAATAGGATCATTTCTATTACATTTACTTTTGTAATCTAAATAAAACATTAAAATTGACCATTTTTTTTAATTTAAAAAAAATAACGGCTCGCCATTATTGGTTCCGTCGCAATAGCAGAACCAATAAAAGCTTTGTTGCAGCCGGGACATTTGGGAGATGCGCCATTAACTTTTTCTCTTGAAAATATGAGCAAGTGTAAATGTAATGAAAATTGTCTCCAGCCAAGAGTTTACTCCATGGCTAAAACCAGGGAGCATACATGAGGCACAATGTATTTTGTGCAAGAAGTCATTCAAGCTCGGAACAATGGGAATTAAGGCAGTGGAGTCGCACATGCGAAGCACGAAACACAAAGAGTCAAAATCAAGTTACAGAGAAACAGCCGGTATTTCTCGGTTTTGTTCCATCGTTGTCTCTGCAATGCCTCCACTTATCACCAAATCAAATATACTAAGAAAACGATACAAAGAAAAATAGCTGCAAAAAAGACTTAGCACTGGTTATATTGTGGCTTTAAAACTGATTTGTTTTGTTCCCTGCTAAAACAAAGTTTGTGAATTCAGTTAAATAATAGTTAAAATATATCTGTCATTTGTGTGTTTTTTAGCTTTGTTCCTGTATGGGAAGTTTCTCGAAATTTGAAACATCAGTGCAGTGGTTTATGTTAAAATAAACCTTTGGGTTAAGTTGTCGCAAGCGGGATTTTCTTGTGTTTCTTGTGAATTTGGTCTTAAATTTTTATTTCAAGTGGCATTAAAAAGTCTTGAATTTAACTTGCCTTATGCTGTGCCCTGTTGTTTGTTTTGCTTTTTTATACACATTTGCCGCACCAACTCCACTTCAATCTACAGTAGAGCCCAGTTAATAGTTCAGGCAGGAAGTCGGTTGATGAAAAGCAAAGTGGATCTAGTCGAGTTTACAAGTTATATGCAAAAAAAAAAATCTGTTCATCCAGTCTATAAACAGCCTTAATAAATATGAGCATTGATTTAAAAAAATACTTCAAAAAAATTATATTTGAACTCATCTAAGAGAGATCCAAATAAATAAGGGTAGGGAAATAAGATAAAATCAGGCACATAACATGCTGGTGGTTCTGGAAAAATAAACATTTTGCTTGCTTGTTGTTCCATTTAAAGCCAACGAGTAATGCAACCCTGATAGGATCTGAGTCCAAACGTGCAAAGTTGCTCTACTCTGAAAAAGCTCCTGGTGCAATAAGGTGCCTGGGGTATGCACTGCTTCCACAGCCATCGGAACCGTTTTGAATTTGTATAATTGCTAAAACAGAACACATGTATAAAAATTAGATTTTTTTATTTCTTTGTCAGGTGTGTTGTAAATCAGTCTCTTCTTAAAAAGTTCATTTGCACATGATTTTATGTCATTAAAGTAGGGCAAATAATAAAAAATGCACAGCTTTGTGTTGGTTAATCCGACAAATATAGACTGATGTGCATAGCTGTAAAGTAACACAATGGGGGAAAGTTCAAGTCCTATAAAGGATTTTGCCAGAAACTACATTGTTTACACTAAGCTAAACCAAGCAGGCTTCCAGTCAAACTCAATCGATCCTACTCTTTATTAGAATTTGGGGGCAAAAAGAGAAACCTTAAACTATTCCCTGAGCTATTTTATCCCAAAAAGTAATCAGCAGCAGCGAAAGTGGTGCTACATTTTCATTTGCCCCAGGGGTTTCTTTCCCCTTCATCACAGGAGCTTCAACAGTCAGAAAACAAAGAATATAACCACACTGAAAATATAACAAATGGCTTTAGTTACGATGGGATTTAACCTTTAGATCATGATAGAGAGCGTGCCAACTTCATTTTACAGTGAACCTAAACTTTAAATTCAGTGCTTCAGATTTTTATTTTTTTGCTCTGACAGGTTAGATTCAGGTGAAACCCTGGTTGACATTCTCTTCTAATCACCCAAAACCTGCAAAAATCTGATGTGAGCCGCCCGTATCCGCACACAAACACGCTCACACACAGACATCAACACCTTCACACCCAATAACCTGCTTAACAAAACGCTCTGAAATCTGAAATCCAATATCCGACCTGAATCCAACCTTTCTCTGTTTTTGGTTCCCCATTTTTTCCCCTCATCATATGAGTGGCTCATGGATCTCAGTTGGCTCTTTGTCTAGCGCCAGAATCATTTCTTTCTGGGAGTTCCTGAAAATGACTATAATTTCCACATCCCTATTTGACAGCTACCCCCCCATCCTCATATTCACCCTCTTATATCTGCCTTCCTCTCATGTTGAATGCCCCAGCATCCCTCCTCCCAGGGCTGTTTGCTGAGGAAGGTTTCAGATGAGAGAAAAAAAAAAATCACGTCTCGCTTCGTTTTTTTTCTCCTCCCTTTGTTTTGTTTCTTTACTTTCTTACTTGTTTTCGCCTCCTCCCTCGCGCGCCTCAGTGCCTTCCTTTTAATCTCCCCTCCGCTCAGATTTTTGTTTTGCTTCGTGAATGTTGAATAGCGACACTTGACTCAGATGAAGGTCACATTGGCCTAAAAGGAGACAAAAAAGACAAGAGGTTGTAGATAATGAGTGACGGGATGGATTGGGGTGTGTTTGCATAGAGGTGAGACTCTAAGCGTTCTGGTATCTCATTCTTAAGTTAAAGGCATTTACAGAAACAAGCATTCTGTTTGGATTCGTCGACAAGATGGCAAAAAAATTATCAAAGCTCAAACTCAAACCAGTATTAACGCAGGACATGTCTGCGGGTTCTAAAAACACCAAAACTTTATCTGAAAATCAATTCCTGTAACCATGACAACGAAGGCCATCTTTTATTTCCTGCTCCAAGCCAAAAGTCAACCTTTCTTCCCACCATGACCGATGCTAACCTTGATTGTGTGTTTACAACGACGGCTGACAATAAAGGCTGTTTTTGTTGTAAAATATTATTCAACCTTCTGTTCTGTACTCTGTGATTCTCCTATCAACCATTCTTTGAGGGGCTTCAATGCTCAAGAGAACCTGAAGTTGCCAGGATGTCCAGGAAAATGATGTTTCTTTAAAGTCCCTCCAGCACACACCCTTTTACTGTGATAAATGGGGAAGAACAGCTTTCACACAAAGGGTCAACCTCAACTTTAAAACAAAAGCAAAGGAAACATTTTCTTTCAGAGCTTTTTAGTCTTTTGTTTATTTTAATAATAGCTTGACTTGCAAGAAATAAATAAACAAACAAATCTCCTTTAGTGTATTTGAAATTGGAAATACAAATAGAAGACATTTATTGTCTCACAGTGAGGAAATTTGACTTTGTCACGGTAGCAGAAGCAAATAAAAAGAAGGCACAAGACTAAATATTAAAAGAACAAAATTTGAAGTAGGGGCAAAAAGCATAGCTACAGCTGGATTAAATAAAATTAAGTTGTTGCTATTTGTGAGGTTTCATTTTTCTTTTAAGATGCAATTTACAACAATGTTGTATCATTTTTTTGCAACAAAAGATTTGAAACTAATCAGATTTGGCTTGTTAGCTTGAGCTTCCCGTCGTAAGACAGTTATTGGTTTTAAAGCTCTAAAAGGAGCTAAGTGAGCCAGATAGAGCCTCTCCCACTTGCTGCTGCACACTGCTAGTCAACTGGCTTAAATCTAAAAACATTTATCGTTAACAGCGACAAAATCATTACACCGCTGCTAAATAATACATGGAAGTTGGATTTACCAAGGTCTAAATGACAGAAAACAACCTTAACATCCAATAAATTAATTTGTGATTCATAAAGTTCAACGTTTTTTCATCAGGGTGTTATCTACATTTCTGAAATAATATAGAGTGGAGCATTAACTTGCAGTAAGAAGCAGTTTTAGTCGTATTTTATTTGAACTAGATTGCTTTTATTGATATAATTTTTTCAAACTACAACCAAATCAATGAAAAGGCTGCTGAAGTTTGCTGAAATAGCCTTCCTCCACCAACTAGTTAAAAATAATAGTCAAAAAGAGTTTCAACTTTTTTTATTTTCACTGCTCTTTCACTTTAACACACACATATAGAAAATGCATTCACTGTAGGGAGAGACTGAATCCAGGCTATAATCCCAGGATTTGCCCTGCAGAGCATATGAGAAAGAGCAAGGTCAGTGCCAGCGATTTGTTGCAGACTGATGCCGAGGTTCATGTCAACAGCAATGGCTCCCTAATAACAATCAGAGTGCGGAGAACCAGGCAGATTGTGTCAGTAACATATGGGCCTGTCAGTATAACACAGAGGGAACTCACGCAGGCAGCACTGAGTCCTCTGACAGCAGCACACTTCGTTTTCTGCTGGAACAAACTAAACACGGGAAAGTCTTTGCACAGTGTTGCACTTTATTGACTTGAAAAGCTGTGATGTTAATCAAACTTCATTGATTTAAAGCACACACACACACAATCGACATGCACAAATTCAAATCTGCAAAATAAAAAAAAAACCTTGAACTTGACCTAAAAACAGAGATGTGAATAAAAAGCTTAAACACCTCTTGAATGCAAGTTATGATTTTTTTTATTTTACAATTTAAGACAAATCTTTTTTTTAAGCTTTGAATTGGATCCTTTTATGCAACCCTGTGAGCCTTTTCAAAAATATAATTTGTGGAGTAAAAAAAAATCTTCTCCATCTATGAAGGTTAATTTAATCCTTTCTGGTTTTCACTGGCCAGTGAAGATCTCTCTGTGCTTTTGACATGCTTCGCTAAAGTAGGAGTACATCAAAGCCCCAGATAAACCCCGCTCCTGATGGCTGTTACGCAAAAGTCTAAAACTCTCTTTGACAGCAGGTCCTTCAAAATACAGTTAGGTCATGCTCTGGAAAGCAAATTTTCAACTTAGTGTGGAACCTCGTGCTTTTGAGTAAGTCTCCATATGAGGACACGTGTAACACGTGTCTGTTGGCTGCTCCTGGTGGAACGTTTAACCCCTACGATGAATCTTTCCTCTCGGGAGTCCACCAACAGAGTGTCAGCTGAATCTGTACGAACAGAAGAAACAAGAAAATACTTAAGAGGGGGAGAAAAATGTGTCCAAAATGAAATATGAAGCCGCTGTCGGTGGTTAAGTTACCTACAGAGCTGGTTGAACTCAGACACAAGCATCAGCTTTCTGGCAGCCTTTGATGAATTTTTCCTAAATAAGTAAGTCAGCCAAACCTCAGCTTTCCATTAGTTTTATTCAGCACAGATCAGCATCCAAACTGCTCTGCAAACCTCCACTAACCCATAAAAATGCTCATTATTATGCATGTGGGGAAAGAAGGCACAAATAGAGGGAGGGAGGGGGATGAGCAGCAGAAGGGCCTGGTTAAAAAGCAGGACACCTGCACACACACCTCCAGCTGTTGGCTGCCTGAATGTTTGACAGGCAGCCCACTGAGTGGCTGCGTGGACACCAGCCAGCCGCTTGTGAATCAGCAATGACTAACTGTTTAAAGCGGCACATTCTAAGCTAATCACCTGCATACTCATTGTAAACAAATACTGTAAATTGAGAGTGGATGTGTTGCATATCCACATAGCTCCCACCTGAATCTTTGTTTTGTTTGCAGCCCTCTCTATCAAGCCCGATTGTCGCAGCCCGGGCCTTTAATTGCCTTACAGCAAATTTGACATTGTCCACACTGACTGCACCCTGATGAGAAGCATGAAAAGTGGAGTGATGCTGGATCTGCCACTTCCTCCAATCAGAAAAGACAAGAGGCTCCCCCCCAACGGCGGGCTCCGTTTGATCGCCGCACAAGGCAACGCAATGGGGATGCTAATCTCATGCAAAGACCGGGCCTTTGAGCGTGTGCCAGCCTGGTAACACTTTTAGCGTGAATGTTTGCGAGCAGGGCGGTGGCGGCTCTAATCAGAGGCACAATTGGAAGAGGCATGTGGCAATAAAGTCCAGCAAAACGCCTGCCAGTCTCATTTAGAGGCAAGCAACCTTCCAAGCTCTGACAAATAAATAAAAAACAAACAGTAGAAGGCGAACACGTTCCATCTTGGTGAACATCTGGTCGAGGTCAACCCACTGCCAGCAACCTCCACAAAGCAAATTAAAACCCAGAGATGAGAAATACTGAGCCCTCAAAGCTGGACTTTAAATGGATATATCCCCCAGGGTGATTTAACCGTATACGGCACAGCCGGGATGTGCAGCTTATTTTTCACGCAGTATGATTTACATGCTAAAGTTAGGGTGATCCTAATTTGCAGAGGCCATTATCAGCATGACAGGATGACAGAGTCAATTCATACTGACATCCCTCCTGAGACTTGTCAATAGTCAGCTGAAGGAAGTATCTGTTATTCACTGTAGACTAGACACGACTGATAAACAGCAGGCAGCACAACATTTGTCTTCTTTCTGCTTGGCTCTATATTAGAAATGTCATGTCTGCTGCTTACTATTCCTGTTCAAAGTCAGACACACTCGTCCACATTTTGTCATGTTGCACCGACTAACTGCGCTGAATGTTGTTGGGATTTGATGTAACAGAGCGTCTCAGAGTAATGCATAATTGTGAAAGGGAAGGAGAATGATAGCTGGATTTTAAAATGGTTTATAAATGAGAGTCTAAAAAGTGTGCCATGTATTTCTTTTCACCCCCCGACTAAATAATTTCGAGAACCACCTTTTAGTGCAATTATAGCTGCAGGTGTTTGATCTTTTCTTGAATTCCTTAGTATCAGAACATGATGTGCTGCTCTTTAACACCTTAACCCTTCATCATGTTGTCAAATGGCTTCTTTTTCAGGTAATGTCTTGTTTCCGCTGGGCTCAGAGTGATCAGGTGGGGGCGGATAGGGAAATTAAACCAATGAATGTTAACTCTTAATGTATCGTCAAGTGGAATGAATTTGGAAACTGGTTTTTATACTTTTACATGCTTAATAAGCTAAATATTTTTCAAAAAATGCACGCTTTAAAACTTTAATCTCAGAAAAAGTGGATGATCTGACAGTTTAAAAAACAAAATAAACCTAAACATAAAAGCTTTTTCAATGCACTTCACTGCAAAAACTGATCACAGATCACAATGAAGTCTGAAAAAACAAACAACCAAGGTAAAATACTTCTAAGAAAAATAGGAAAAAGAAAACTGTTAAGCTGCTATAGCGCTGTAGGCTCCGCAGATGATGTGTCAGATGATAAACATGTCCAACACCATTTGGAGATAAATACAAAACAAAACCTTTCTCCTAATTCTCTTTAATAACAACATTACCTGAAACAAAGCAGAGGATTGGCTTCTCCAGCTTCAGACTTTGTAACTCAGCCCACAACACAGATGCTTTCAAAGCCACTGGCACCGCAGTCCGTCAGAAATCATCCACTGGGTTTCTGGCACGTGCAAATGACTGATTTTGAGTCCCATTGTCTCTGTACTGTAGAATAAGTAAAGCAAAAGCTGCCAGCGTTGACAGATAGTGATTGTGATATTAATTTTTTCTCTTCTGTAGAGTGGGACTCTTTTACTATCAGCCACTCACTTCCTGTGAAGAGGAGAGCTTGCGTCATTGCTTCT